CAATCTCCTTTGCTGCCCCCTTCACCTCCAGCCCCTGCAGGCTCCCATACTTCACCAATTTCTGCAGCATCGGAATGTTGATGTGGCACAACCTCTCGTGCCACGTCTCCCAATCGGCCTCACCACTCCCAGATGAAGCCTTTGCCCATGCAGCCGTTGCATCCACACCAGCGAGCACCTCACCATGAGGCTGCTGTGGCTGCTGCACCTTCTTGACTGCATCCAGGGCCCCACTAGTTGGTGCAGTCTCCTCTCCTCCCGCAGTTGCTTTAGCCGCTGCCGCTGCCTTTGCCGTTGCTGGTGGTTTCCCATTCCAAGGGATGATGGGCAGCTGCCACAGGTCCTTGATGCAGCTGCTCTTTTCCTCCAAATCTCACAGCAGCAACTTCCCAAGCTTCGCACGACAGCTCAATGGGCCGAATGTAACTTTGGCCTTGCTTTTCTGCAGTCGGCGCACAGAGAGGAGGTTAGCGGACAAACCTTCAACTAGCAGTACATTTCCCAGTCCCACAAGTCCCCCATTGGCTCCCATCACCTTGGCATTCCCAACACCAATCACAGGGAGCAAAGCACCTGAAGCGGCAGCCACAAACTTGATCTTCCCAGGGGGTTTCACCTCATCGAGCAAGTCTGCCCGTGGAGTCATGTGACTCGTGCAACCAGAATCGATCACCCAGTGAATAAGGGGGTGCATCATAACCTTCCCAACCGAACCCACATCATCCTCACTCCCTTTCACTTCCTCAACCATGAGGAACAACCCAGGGTCGGCTTTACCTTGTGCACCATCACCTTGTGCACCTGCACCTTGCACAGCGCCACCTCGTGCACGTTCACCACTCGGCGGCTTCATGCCTGGAGGTGCCCATCCCTCAGGCCGGCTGAAACACTTGAACCACGGGTGTCCAGCCTTCTTGCAGTACCAGCACGCTCCCTCCATTCGGGTGCTCCCCCTTCCACCGGAGCTTCCATGCCCCTCGTTGTAGTCACCTCGGCCTCTTCCTCTGCCAAAGCCTCTCCCACGGCCTCGGTCTCTCTCCCCCCCTCTTCCTCGGCTGTCTCCTGGAGCTCCGTACCCCTCAGCAGTTTTGTTGGCAGCACCGCCTCCCGTGTGGCGCCTGCGGAAGTCCTCCTGCAGGATCTGCTGCCGCAGCCACTCAGGCGTCCACTTGTCCTGCTGAACGTTGAGGGTGGGGATGAGGTTGTCCCATGAGTTGTCGAGCACCGAGATGATCTTGGTGCATTGCTGCATCTCCGACACCTTGCTGCCCGCCGCTGCCATCCTCGCATATGTGTCCTTGATCTTGTCAAGGACCGGCTTCACGTCGTCTCCCGGCTTCATGGAGAGGGCAGCCAGCTCCTTCTCCAACACAATCACCATCGGCAGCGTGTTGGGCTGAACCACATCCCGTAGAAGCTTCCACGCTTTCGGCCCGGAGTCGTCCAGCTCCACTAGGTCTTTGATGTGCTGGAACATGTCGTTGTTGACCGATTGAAGGATAAGGTCGTATAGCACCGCGCTCCGCTCAATCCACCGGTCGCGGGCATCTCCTTCCTCCGGCATCTTCTCTTCTCCCATAGCCAATTTCAGCAGCTTGTAGCGCTTGAAGGCGCTCCGCATCCGCCCGCTCCATTCCTCATAGTTGGAGCCGTCCAAAGCCTCGATCTTGGACGGTGGCGGTTCACTCTTCTTATCAGCTGCTTCTCCACTCATCTCCTCTGCTCCCAATCAGAGGTTTCAGCTCCCCCTTTGCTGTCCACACCGAAGTCCCACACAATTTCCACAAGTGTCGGCGCCAACGAAATTTCGGCAGAGTTTCCCCTTAGCGGAAGTCACTCCCAACCTCCAGAACTCCACTTAGGCACGCCCACAGGCCATGGTGGGTCTAGGAGGGTCTTCACACTTCAGTAGACTCCCCACAAAGTCCTCAATTGCTCTGATACCACTTGTTAGAGACTAAGGACTGAGTCTATGAAGATTAGGTGCCTAAATAACTCAAAATCGTTGGCTTAGAATTCTGGACAGAAACCGCGACTTCACAAGAAACGTTGTCGACGAAAAGTGCACCGTTAGAATTGTCTCAAACTCGAGTATGTTATAGCCCTTGACCGTGGCTATCATTCCCAATTTGAATCGTATCAAAAGGTGGAGTAAATCTCGAGTTATGCTTTTCGGTGCACTAGGGGGTATGCTGCCACATAGAAACTTAACTCAATCACAATTAACTCACAAGTTCCACAAGTTACACACAAGAGAGTTAGAGTAGCACTAAACCAGGTGGGAGGGAAGAGGAGGACGAGAGGGAAGGTCCCAAGGGAGTCCCCAACCAAGGAAACCCCATGCCACACAGTTTCCCTCTCCATAGGCAACCCCACTTTCACTTTTGTCACTATCCCAACCCATGCCATCCACCTCAACCCACTTGGCCACACTTGCCAACCTGGTTTGGCTTCTCCCAACCACATGGCAGCATTCTACAGTGATGGGTTCGAATTTCCCAACCCCAAAAGTCTGTACCCCATATTGAGTCAACCCAACAAGTTCCCACAGTCGCCGCAACCAAAGTACAGAAAGCATACGAACTCCAATGTTCGTAACTTTCTTGTTCTTGCTCCGATCGCGACGATTCTTGGCTCATCGGAAAGCTCTTGAGCAGAGCAATCACTTCAGATATCTGCTCAAGCCAAATAACATTCACACACACTCAGAAAATCCAAACCGCGCAAAAACACAAATTCTTGCACACGCTCACACCACACATGCAACGCACGAACACATGATGGGAGGCAGACAGACGTGAATGCATATGGTTGCATCACACAACACGCGCACCCCGCCTAGAGGCCCCTCTGGCCTCGTCGGCCCCGTGGACCCCACGCGCACCTACGCCTTAGCGGCCCCGTCGCCCCTTACCGCCTCGCACGCGACAGCCCTACCTGAATCGCGCTGCCTACTGCTGTTAGGGTGCACCTACTACTACTACTGCTACTATGGCTAGCCCTCCTGTGCTAGCTTTCGATGCTGAGGGCCGCCCAGTGAAGTTTGACACCTGGCTTGATGACCTGCATGTCAAGATAGTAAGGACAGTGAGAAGCCATAGCTAGGGTTGACCTAGCTAGGCAAGCAAGAAATGAACAAAGGAGGGGTTGCACTAGTAAGAATGGGGATACAAATAGCAAACCCTAGAAGGGTTGTACTCGCTATAGAGCACCCCACTATAGGCTAGAGCATAATATTCTGACACACCCCCATAGCCAAAGTGGGGTGTAATCAGCAGAGCAAGCAAAACAGTACAAGCTCAGGGTGGATCACAATGTCACCACACATTCTGAGCACAAGTTCAAGAAGCAATAGTTTAAAGTTCACAATTATGAGCAAAGCCAGTGGTAGTCACAACGGGCAAGTGAGGAGGAGGAAAGAGACTATGAGAGGAGAGGAGGTAGTGGGCGGCAGCTGAAGCTGCTGGCACACGGCGCAACTGGAGCAACTGGCACACGGGCAACTGGAGCAACTGGCACACTGGCAACTGGAGCAACTGGCACACGGGCTACTGGAGTAACTGGCTCCGCGGCTGAAAGTAGCGGCAGACGAGCAACGGACTCACGGGCGACTGGAGCAACGGGCTCACGGGCGACTGGCGCAACGGGCTCACGGGCGACTGGCGCAACGGTCTCACGGGCGACTGGAGCTGCTGGCTTCACGGCGGCCACCCCCTTCAACCTCCCCAAACTATCCCACTCCCCCTGACACACACCCGCTGCTACACCGCTAGCTCCACTCCCCCTTCACCCCCCTAGTACCACTCCGACGGCTCCAACAGGTCCACCCCCCTCAGCGGCAGCTGCAGCACAGGGAGACGGAGGAGGAGGAGGAGCAGGGAACGGCACACAGAAGCTGCACCCCCATACCCCCCACCCCCAAACCCTAATCCAGGAGTACGGGCAGAAGGAGGGGTGGGGCGCCTTCAGAAGCACGGGGGACAGCGGGGAGGACAGGGGCAGCGAAGAACGGGCCGCCCACGGGTCTGGCACAGCCTCCCGAACCGCGCGCAGGCGGCCCGAGCCGCGCGCGGGCCTGGCGCAGCCCGTACGGGCCGCGCGCGGGCCTGGCGCAGCCCGTACGGGCCGCGCGCCGGCTGTACGGGCCGCGCGCAGGCCACGACGGGCGACGGGGGGCGACGCGCGGGTCCTCGTTGCCCGTCGCAGCGCCTCCCGGGAGCAACGCGCGGTGTGACGGGGCAGAAACCCGCCGCGCGCCTCGGGGCGCACGGCGGGCAGAGAACCGCCGCGCGCCTCGGGGCGCACGGCGGGCAGAAAACCGCCGCGCGCCTCGGGGCGCACGGCGGGCTGAAAACCCTAATTTCAACGCCGCGTACCACGAGGCGCGCGGCGGACAGGGAGTAGCAGTAGCAGCGGAAGCAGTGAAGTGGTGGGCCCACAGGACAGGAGCGTAACCGCTCTGTTACCATGTCAAGATAGTAAGGACAGTGAGAAGCCATAGCTAGGGTTGACCTAGCTAGGCAAGCAAGAAGGGTCCACTAGAAAGAATGGGGATACAAATAGCAAACCCTAGAAGGGTTGTACTCGCTATAGAGCACCCCACTACAGGCTAGAGCATAATATTCTGACACTGCACCTCTTCCTACAGCTCACTGCCAAGGAGGACATCTCACTGTACGATCATGCCCTCGGCCATGCTACTGCCCCTGCTGCTACTGCTGACAGCACTGCCCGCTCACAGTGGCAGACTCGTGACGCCCACGCTCGCTTTGCTATTCTCAAGTCCCTGCCGATAGATGAGCGCGAGCACTTTGGCCAGCACAAGACTGCTAAGGAACTGTACACCGCTGTCGTTGCCCGCTACTCCTCACCTGCTTCTGCCGCACTAGGCCGCCTCTCACTCCCCTACCTGTTCCCCAACCTACCCTCCTTTCACACAGTTGCTGACCTCATCACGCACCTCAAAACTAGTGAGGCCCGCTTCCGTGCCGCTATGCCCGATGAGTTCCTTGCTAGGAACCCCCCCCCCGTTCTGGCTCACTCTTTACCACCTAGTCACCCGCCTCCCTGACTCTCTGCGTGCAGTCAGGGATCACTTCCTAGCTCGCTGCCCCACTGAGCTCACCATTGCCCTCCTCGAGAAGGAACTCCTTGCAGCTGAGGCTAGCATAGTCGCTGTAGGTGCCTCTCGTGGCGACCCCCGCACCCCTTTCTTTGAGGGGTGTTCCCCTTCCCCCCTTCTTCCCTCTGTAGCCTCTGCTTCTGCTGTCGACCTCCTTGGTGCTGAGAAGGTCGGGACTGCGTCCACTTCCAGTTGGCGCCGCAGGGGCAAAGGGGGCAAGGGAGGCGGAGGTGACGGCGGGGGAGGCGGTGGTGGAGGTGGTGGCGACGGTGGGGGTGGTGGTGGGCTGGAGGGACTGGTGGCAGCGGTGGGGGTGGTGGCGGCAGCGGCGGGGGCGGTGGCAGGGGCGGGGGCGGCGGTGGGGGCGGAGGTGGTCGCGGAGGCGGCAGGGCAGGGGGTGGTCGAGGAGGTGGCGGCGGCGGTGGTGGTCGTGGAGGCGCTGGCAGTGGCCAGAGTCAGCAGCACACTCCGTCACCCCAGGAGGCCCGTGAGTGGTACTTTCAGAACGGGGGGGGGGGGGGGTGGACTTAGCTGCACGTACGTCATCCGCACTGGTGACCGCACTGGTCAGACGTGTGGGAGGCCGCACCCCACGCAGCGCTGCTTCTCTCGCCTCGATGACGCCTGGCGTACTCAGTTCCCTGATGCCACTGAGCTGCCCCGCTGGTTTGATCTGATGAAGAAGGGAGTTGATATCTATGCTCTAGACTTTGATGCTATTCTCACTGCCATGTATGTGATGTCTACTAGTGGAGAGGGTGCTCAGTACCTGTGTGTTCCGCCCGACCCGGGCATTCGGACCAGTGAGGCTGCTGCTCTAGGTGCTAGTGAGACTGCCACTCCAGGTACTCGCGTGTCTACTACCCCAGGTGCTGGTGCGGCTGCTGCTCTAGGTGCTCGTGAGTCTGTGCCCCCTGGTACTGAGTCGACTGCGGCACTGCACACCTTCACACTTGACTCAGGTGCTTCTCGCTGTTTCTTTCGTGACCGCACTGTCCTTGAGCCACTCGCTCGGCCAGTTGCTGTCTCCCTCGCTGACCCCTCTGGGGGTCCGGTCATTGCGACCTCCTCTACTGTCCTTCCTTGTCCTGCGGTCCCGTCAGGCACACTGTCAGGTCTCTACCTCCCCTCGTTCTCTACGAACTTGGTGGCAGGTCGTGCGCTCCAGGACGGGGGTGTTCACCAGTTCACCCCTGCCTATGAGCGCGTGACACACTGCACGTGTGCTCGGACGGGTCGCCACCTGGCTACCTTCACTCGGCAGCCGGGGTCGGACCTGTACACACTGACCACTGAGTCCCCTCAGGTAGCTGCGTCTGCGTCTGCGTCTGCGTCAGGTCAGCTGTCGGCCCCCTGCTCGTGTCGCTCTCTGGCGCACGAGACCGTCCTCTGGCACCACCGACTTGGTCACCCGTCTGTGCAGCGCCTTCGTGCCATGCACAAACGGTACCTTGTCTCTGGTCTTCCCAGGGTTCTCCCTCCCCTCCCACCCTCGCCTGCTCCTCCCTGTCTTCCCTGTGTCGAGGGGCGGCAGCGCGCCGCTCCTCACTCCTCCTCTTTTCCCCCGACGACTGCTCCCTTGCAGACGCTCCACATGGACGTGTGGGGCCCAGCCCGCGTCCGTGGACAGGGTCAGGAGAGGTACTTCCTCGTCGTTGTTGACGACTACTCGCGCTACACCACGGTCTTCCCCTTGCGCACCAAGGGTGAGGTCCCTGATGTCTTGATCCCTTGGATCCGCAGAGCTCGTCTCCAGCTCAGCGAGCGTTTCCGCTCGGACTTTCCTGTCCTGCGTTTGCACTCTGACAGAGGTGGTGAGTTCTCCTCCGACCTCTTGGCAGCCTACTGTGCGGAGCACGGCATTGAGCAGTCGTTCACGCTTCCGGCCTCTCCACAGCATAATGGGGTTGCTGAGCGCCGCATTGGCTTGGTCATGGAGGTCGCTCGTACCTCCTTGATCCATGCGGCTGCCCCCCACTTTCTGTGGCCGTTTGCGGTCCGATACGCTGCGCATCAGCTCAACCTCTGGCCCCGTGTCTCCTTGCCGGAGACTTCCCCGACACTGCGTTGGACGGGAGAGGTTGGAGATGCGTCGCGTTTTCGGGTCTGGGGATCTCGAGCCTTTGTTCGCGATATGTCCGCGGACAAGCTCTCCTCCCGCGCTGTTCCTTGTGTCTTCCTTGGCTTTGTCCCGGACGCGTCTGGTTGGCAGTTTTACCACGCCACCTCGCGCCGTGTCCTGCCCTCTCAGTGCGGAGATAACTACGACAACGGGAGCGAGACTACGGGTTAGGCACGGGTGCTCGTGTGATTTCTGCGTTCGTTGGTCCTTAGTCGCTCTCCTAGTGTACACACTACTTGCTAGTTCACAAGGCAATTTGGCAAGAGTTTCACTAGAGAAAGTTGACAACAATGATACAAAGAAGTTGACAAGGTGGGACTACATCAGAGCTAGCATGCAAGCAAGTCTACTGCCAGCGCAGCACGGTCGACCGCGTGCCAGCACGACTTGGTCGACCGCGCTCCAGCAGTGCAGAGGCGCGGCTTGCCAACGCTGCAAGTCGACGGCGTGACAACAACGCAAGTCGACGGCGTGCCAGCGTTGCTCCCGCAGTACAGCATCGCACCCGCTTCGCAGGTGCTCGCAGATGATTGGCGTGCAGTGCCCCGTCACCTGCACAGCGCACACACCACATCAACTTCGTGCTGACGACTGCTTCTGATGCACCACGTCGACCTCGGGATACCATCACCGAGGTCGTCCTCGCCAAAACCACCTGGGCGACCATCGCAAGCCTTCGCAGCACCTCGTCACCCAGGTAACCTGGTCGACCGAGCAACCAGGTCGACCAGAGGCTCCAGTGCGTGCCCGTCGACCACCCAGGTCGACGACCACTTCCGGTCGACCTCCCAGGTCGACCACTGCCTCTGGTGCGTGCCGGTCGACCTCCCAAGTCGACGGCCACCTCCAGTCGACCTCCCCAGGTCGACCACTATCCCCTGGTCGACCAGCTCCAAGTCGACGTCACTCCTGGTCGACCAGAGGGTCTGGTCGACTTACCAGGTCGACCAGAAGGGCTGGTCGACGTCCCAGGTCGACCAGGAGGGCTTGTCGACTTCCCAGGTCGACCACCCGAAGTTGGCGCCCTCCCGAAGTCGGCGCCCATGCAGTGGCTCCCCGTGCAGGTCGACCAACTCGCCCACTGCTGCAGGTCGGCTGCACCCTACACCCGACCACGAAGTCGGCTCCGCCCAAGCGAGGACGGGGCCAACATACAACTCCCATTGACACTCAGGACGTCACTTTTGACGAGTCCGTCCCCTACTACCGCCTCTTCCCCTACCGCACTGCCCCGCTTCCCCCCCGCCTCTCCCCCTCGCTCCAGGTGCTGCTGTACTAGACCCCCTCCCCCCTCAGGGTGCCGCTCCCTCAGGTGTGTCCCAGGTAGACCCGGTTGAGCCTGTCGAGGTAGCTGTCGACTCTCGTCCTGCTAGGGGTGCTGAGTCTGAGCGTGCGGAGCCTGGGGGTTTGGAGCATAGGGGTGCTGAGCCTGGGGTTGCGGAGTCTGGGGGTGCTGAGCCTGGGGGTGCTGAGCCTGGGGGTGCGGAGTCTGGGGGTACTGAGTCTGGGGGTGCTGAGTCTGGAGGTGCTGAGCCTGGGAGTGCTACACCTGGAGGAGCCCTCTCCTCACAGCAGCTGCAGGAGAGGTACTTACAGTACTGCAGCCTCAGGAGAGGTGCTTCTGGAGCCAGGAGTGCTGCTGGAGCTGGTACTAGTGCTTCCCCTCCTAGACGGGAGCTGCCCTCCCTTCAGCGGATCCGAGAGTGGTACACGCGGCGCTGCAGTCTTCGGAGTGGCGCTCCTGGTGTCGCGGACCCTGGTGCTGGAGGTGCTGCTGCTGCTGGCGGTGCTGCTGGTGCTGCTGGAGGTGCTGCTGGTGCTGGAGCTGCTGGAGGTGCTGCTGCTGGCGGTGCTGCTAGCGCTACTAGTGGTGCTGCTAGTGCTACTGGAGGTGCTGCTGGTGCTGCGGACCCTGGAGTTGGAGCTGCTGCTGGTCCTGCGGACCCTGGAGTTGGAGCTGCTACTGGTGCTGCGGACCCTGGGGTTGGAGCTGCTGCTGGTGCTGCGGACCCTAGAGTTGGAGCTGCTACTGGTTCTGCGGACCCTTGAGTGGGAGCTGTGGCTGGTGCTAAGGACCCAGGCATTGGAGCTGCTACTGGTGCTGCGGACCCTGGAGTTGGAGCTGTGGCTGGTGCTGCGGACCCGGACGTTGGAGCTGCTGCTGGTGCTCCGGACCCGGGAGTTGGAGCTGCTGCTGGTGCTGAGGACCCTGGCACTGGTGTCTCTGCTGGTTCTGGAGATGCTGCGCGGCCGCGACCGTACTTCGTGCCGCTCCTTCAGCAGGTTCTTGGTCAGACTCCTCCTCCTTGTCCTCCTCCCTCCTTAGAGTGTCCTCCGCCTGTCCAGTCGCAGTCACAGTTACCGCCTGCCTCGCCTCTCCCTGGTCCTTCTCCTTACACTGGTCCCACAGGAGGTCTTACGGAGCGTCGTGAGCCTGAGTCTCGTCCTGTGTCGCCTGCGTCTCGCTCTGCGTCGCCTGTTCGTACTCCTCGCACTGGTCGTCGTGTCCCACGTGAGCGTCCTCCTCCTGTCCCTGGCACTCACTCCATGACTCTGCGTCCCTCCACTGCTCCTCAGCGTGTCCCTCTACCGTCTCCTCCTGCGTCCTCTCTGCCTGACGTTCCGGACCCTGAGTCTGACCGGTTTCGTACTGAGCACCCTACTGTCACGCGTTTGTTAGCCACTGTTGTCACTGACCCGTCGTTTGAGTCTACTGCTGCGTCTGCCTTAGTTGCTGAGCTTGTTGACTTTGCTGCTGCCTGTCGTCTAGACTACGCCGCTAGTCTTGTTGCTGAGTCTGAGTCTGTCTGTCCTCCGTTCGTCGGGGGTGAGTGTGCTCTTGGCACGGACGTCCTTGAGGACAGACAGGAGGAGTTCCAGTGCTTTGCTGCTGCTTTGCCCCATCTCGTGTCCATGCTAGTTGCCCCTGAGGGAGACCCGGATGCACCAGACATCCCGACTCCGCGCTCTTACGCAGAGGCGATGGAGGGTCCCTACTCCTCTCAGTGGCAGACAGCCGTGGACGCAGAGATGGCTTCCTGGAAGTCCACAGGCACCTACGTTGACGAGGTTCCCCCACCTGGGGCGAACATCGTCAGTGGCATGTGGATTTTCAGGGTGAAGCGGCCGCCGAGTTCTCCGCCTGTCTTCAAGGCGCATTACGTTGCTCGAGGCTTCAGTCAGCGAGAGGGAGTAGACTTCTTCCAGACCTTCTCCCCCACCCCGAAGATGACCACTCTTCGGGTGGTGCTGCACATAGCCGCTCAGTGCGACTACGAGCTTCACTCATTTGACTGCAGCACTGCTTTCTTACAGGGCAGCCTGCACGAGGAGATCTGGCTGCGCCGCCCTCCTGGCTTCACTGGGTCGTTTCCTCCTGGTACCCAGTGGAGCCTCCGGCGGCCGGTCTACGGTCTCCGCCAGGCGCCACGTGAGTGGCACGACACACTGAGGACGACACTTGCGGCTCTTGGGTTCGCTCCTTCTACTGCTGACCCGTCACTGTTTCTACGCACTGACACCTCGCTGCCGCCGTTCTACATCCTCGTGTACGTCGACGACTTGGTCTTTGCCACTGCTGACACTGCGGCACTCGCCCACGTGAAGTCGGAGCTGCAGAAGAGACACACGTGCACAGACCTGGGTGAACTGACAAGCTATCTTGGCTTGCGGATCACCCGGGACAGAGCACGGCGCACCATCACCTTGACTCAGTCACACATGGTGCAGCAGGTCCTTCAGCGCTTCCGCTTCACGTACTCCTCGCCTCAGCCCACTCCTCTACCTACCGGTCACTCGCTCTCAGCTCTGCCTTCGGATGAGTCCGTAGAGCCGA